CCACCTTAGGTGTATGTGGCTGGCACCTTAGCCGCTTGAGCCACAGGCGCTGAGCCAATGCCTGGCTATTTTTTTGGTTGCAGCCGTCACTATTGTTTGGCGGCCCGGGCTGGATTTGAACCCGCCACCTTAGGTGCATGTGGCTGGCGCCCTAGCCACTTGAGCCACAGGCGCCGAGCCCTCATTGCCTTTCAAGGAGTCAACTGCCTGAGAATAAAAACAGAATGGAGTTCTAACATTAGTCACTCTTCTAGTGTCAAGGAGAGGAAAGTGGCTTAACCAGGAGATGAACTTTCAAAGCATAGGTTGTACGGTCTCTCATATTCCCACTGCACAGAGCTGTATGAGACTGAACTCACTCACTCAGCCCCCACTGCCCTCTGATGCAAGAGAATATCATAGTCCTCATTCTATAGCTGGGAAAATTAGTCCCAGAACTTAATATTCATAAGCTTTCATTAGTGATCTCCTAATTTATCCTCTGTTTTCAAGCAAAATCACAGCAAATGATCCAGGGAGGACAATCCATTCATTTTTAAATCTTCTAATAAAAGAAATTCAAACTGTAAATTTATTATTAAACTATTTACTTTTAAACTTTTTATTGACCTTAAAACATAAATCTATAACCATGAAAATACCCTCTTAATAAATACATTTACACTCATACCTGCAAAGATTCTTGCATTGAGGTATCCACATAATCTTGATGTCTCAGAAGATCCAAAACAGATTTGGCTTCTGCCTCCCAGATTTCCACTTGTCTAATGAGTTCTTTGACTTCTTCAACAACTTTTAGTTGCCCTATAATTTCTTCATTTTCTTTCTCATGTTCTTCCCCAGCCTACAACATTCAAATTATCACTAAGAAAATGCCGACATGTACATTATAAAATAATAATATTCCATACCAAAAGCTTATACCATTTTCTTTACTGAAGCATGCTAATTCCACATATTCAAAATACAAGATCTAATATGGGAGGGCCGGGCACGGTGGTTCACACCTATAATCCCAGCACTCTGGGAGGCCGAGGTAGGTAGTTTGCCTGAGCTCACACATTCGAGATCAGGCTGAGCAAGAGCAAGACCCAAGAGTTAGGCATTGTGGCAGGCACCTATAGTACCAGCTACTACAGAAACTGAGGCAAGACAATAGCTTGAGCCCAAGAGTTTGAGGTTGCTGTGAGCTATGATACCAGGACACTCTTCCCAAGACAACCAAGAGAGACTCTGTCTCAAAAAAAAAACAAACAGAGATCTAATTTGGTGACAATACCACTTTATAAATTAAAAGGCTTTTTCTTATTTTCTTAATTATAATATCATTCTTATCAGTCAGATAATATTATCTCCATTTTTCAAGTAAGAAGATTATAAAACCAACATCCTAATTTTCTAAGCATTCATCTAATGCATTTAACACATTTCTAAAACGTATGTACAATGTAATTAATAATAGCTATAAAATGTCAAGAAGAAATTTCAAAATCAAATTGCAACAAAATTAAATCTTTTCCCATGAATAATCTCTCAATTTTCTACAGGTTGATAATAGTATAGCTTTACATGATAGATACATTCTTTTGTTATTATATATTGAAAAATTATAATAGTATATATTTATGGGGTACATACATTCTTAAAGTTGTTTTTAACCAGATCACATTTTTAAATGCCTCAGAAGACTATGGTATTCTAAAGCATATTGTGTAAATTCAGATCATTCCAGATTCTCTGAGGGAGAACACCGAACTCCATCATGGCAAAGGGCCAAAGCCAGTAAGTAAAGGTGTTTAAGTTGTTATTCTGCAGAAGGCACATTTATAAAACCATAGGTATTATATCTTACAAGTGTATGATTTTTAATTTATTTTTTGCTTCCTTTTCCATATTCTTATCTAGAATCTAAAGTTATCCTCCAAGTTATTCCTCCAACAAAAAGGGAGAAAGATAACATTTCCCCCCATTTTACAGAAAGGAAGCAAGACATAAAGAGGCCAGGGTCTGATCTGAAGTTAGACAATTTCTGAGCAGTAGTCAAAAATAATCTCAAGAAAATATCAACTCAGATTCACACTGCTCAGAAGCATGGCTGCTGCTCTGTGTGTGTGAAACTCCGCAGCAGAGTAAGAGGCAGGACAGGAAGTCAGCAGACACTCATACAACAGAACACTGAATGTAGGGCCACACTTAAGCAACTGCCTAGTAAACGATCACATTTTAAATGTTTATTATTGTCTCAACAATATGATTTTTTGAAAAAATAAAGTTAAATTATTTCTATACGCAAACGAAATATACAATGTATGACTATTTACCTCTATATTCTGATAGTGATACTCAGGAAGTTCTATGGACATATCCACCAAAAAATCTCGTTTTCGTTCTTTGGATAGTATAATATTTCCAGATTTGTCAAAAATAGGCTGATCCTGTTTTTTTCTAAGTGGTAGGTTCATTTCCTATAAAAAATTAATTTCATGAAATTTAATGCTCATTTTTATGCTAATACATATTACAAATAAGTGGATATAAAATACTTAAGTACATCTTAATGATTTATCATCTAGTAGCAGTACTGTAAAATATGGGCATTTCCAATAAAACATCTAAGTCTAAAACTGTTAAGAATTAAGAAATAGGCTTGGTTTGTTCCTAGGCATCTCCACCAAAAAAAGTCAAACAAAAATTTTAAAATAAATAAAATTAAATAAGCAATAGGCTGGGCACAGTGGCTCAAGCCTGTAATTCTAGCACTTTGGGAGGCTGAGGTGGGAGAATCACTTGAGGCCAGAATATAAGTCAAGAGGCTGAGAGACCTCACTAGAGACCAGGAGTTTGAGATTACTGTGAGCTATGATGATGCCACTGCACTCCAGTGTGTGCGACAAAGCAAGACATTGTATAAAAAAAAAAAAAAAGGAGGAGGAGGACAAATAGAATAATTTAAGTTCAAAAATTTTTATGGAAAGTCTGGTTTTATGAGGCATTGTGCTAAATACAAGATAAATAAGGTTCAGTGTATGTTCTCAAGGAGATTCATATCTAGTAGGCAAAACAATGCTTAGATTATTCTTTAATGGTAAATAAATTTCAAAAAGAAAGCTGTTTATTAGAAGCTGTCTTTGATACATACTCAAGAGAAATCAAAACATACGTTTACAAAACATTTTATGCATGACTATTCATAGTGACATTGTTGGTAAGAGCCAAATCAGTAGAAAGAATTCAAATGTCCATGAGCTGTTAAATGGTTGAATAAAAATGTGGGATATCTATACAAGGGACTATTATTTGCCACTAAGACAGAATTAACTACTGACATGTGCCATAATGTGGATGAACTTTAAGATTATAATGCAAGTTGAAATATGTCGGTCACAACAGATCACGTATTGCATAATTCAATTATATGAAATGTCCAAAATAGGCAAATCTATAGGAACACAAAGTGGATTAGTGGTTGCCAAGGATTAGGATTTGGGAAGAAATGAGGAGTGACTGCTGATGGGTACTGAGTTTCTTCACAAAGTGATGAAAACATTCTAAAATCGATTATGTTGATGGCCACACAACCCCATGAGTACACTAAAAACCAATTAAATTATACACTTAAAATCAATAAATTGCATGGTATGTGAATTACATCTAAATAAAGCTGTAACCAGTCAAAAGAACTTACAAGCTGAGTTTTTGAAATAAACTTTCTCCATCTTTTATTCAGCCTTCTCAGTTCTTTAGAAATAGAAGATCTGACTGCATCAGTGCTAACTTCAATTAGGAAATTTCCAGCTTCATTTAAAGCAGTATGTTGTAGACTCCATTGGGACAGTATCTCAAAGGGAATCTATGTAAAATATAATTAACATAATATATTAATGACATAACGTTTGTCTTTCTATTATCTCTAATAGATATCTACCAAGGCTAAATCTAAGCAAAAGTTAGTATGATGGTTTTCACAGAGATTCTGTCTTTCCTTTGAGGCTCCCACCATTCCTGTCCTAGTTCTTCATTATTAATCACTGATTGGCAGGTGCCACCTGTCTGTCATTAGTCTTGGTCAAGGACTTTTGGGAATTATCTGATCTGTTTTTCTAAGTGGCTGATGAGCTTACAGCAGAGGTTTTCAAATCTGTTCAGTTCATGGCACCCTTGATGTTTCAGTAATTTCTTTCACAAAGCTCCTATGCCAGAAGAATTATCTAACAGCTCCCATTTTAAAGCAATCAGGCCCAACAAGTTAATGGTAGTATGGTATCCAAGATACAGATGTTGTCATGTCTCTCTCAAAATGTAAAGTATCCTCTCAGTTCTCTTAGTTTTTTTGGTAGCCCACAGCATGGCAGCAGAGTTTGGGAATTGCAGGCTTAGAGTGCTGTTTCATTTTTTTTTCAAAGTTATGGATATTTTAATAGAAGACCTTAAAGACAGAAGAACTGTCAGAAGCCTAAGACTTCAATTTCTAGCATCAACGTAACTGAGAAGGAGCAGTAATGACTAAGGGTCATTTTACCTTAAAATGCTTTCTGAGCACGCACATACTTATCATAAATTTTACTTTCATTCAAATAACCTTTCTGTTAAGTAATTTTAGTTTCCAATCTAAAAGCCTATCTAGGCTCAAGCAGCTAAGGCACCCAGCCACATACACCTGAGCTGGTGGGTTCGAATCCAGCCCAGGCCTGCCAAACAGCAATGACGGCTGCAACCAAAAAAATAGCCAGGCATTGTGGTGGGTGCCTGTAATCCCAGCTACTTGGGAGGCAGAGGCAGGAGAATCGCTTGAGCCCAGGAGTTGGAGGTTGCTGTGAGCTGTGATGCCAAGGCACTCTACCCAGGGCAACAGCTTGAGGCTGTCTCAAAAAATAAATAAATAAAGGCCTATCTACATCCATTTGCCATAGAGAAAAACTACCTCAGATAATCATAAAACAAATTATCACATGCCTAACAAATGGAAAAAATAATAAATTACACTGGTGTTTCTTCTACATCTCTCCCCATAAGCCTAAGGTATTTAGATTTTCCTCCTTTAAAAACTCAGAAAAACTTTAGAGCTCATAGGTTTCAAACAAACAGAAAAATAAAACTTTTAAACAGTGGTTTATTTTAAAAGTGGTTTATTTTTAAGCTATGCAATACATTATGTCTTTTATTTCCTCTCTAAAAAGCTTAGAAAAATATCTCCCAAAAGCTATACCTTGGATATAAATTATAGTTCAATAAAGCTCTGTGTGTGTATAAAACCCAGGTGGAGAAAACATTCTTTTGGTAGTGATACGGGGAAGAAGCTAAAGTCTTTCTAAGAACTTCGAGAATTTTCCAAAATACATGTTTACCCTTCTCTGGACTCCCATGTTTGAACTGAAAATGAGGGTCTCTAAACAAAACAAAACAGAAAGTAAAGCTCAGCAGATGCCAGTAGACTGCACATACCTCTTTAATTTGTTCCTTCTTTGTTTCCTCAAACCAAGCCTTTAGAAAGCGAAGGTTTTCCATATAAGTAGCCCAACATGCCAGAACTTGTTGTAGAGTGGACTTCACATTATATATATTTTTTCTATATACACAAATGTTGTATTTCACCATCTTATATTGTTTACTAACATACTGACATTCTCCAGCTACAGTATTAACAAAACAAGAAAGTAATCTTAGAAAATAGTTTCCTATTAATGAAATATTGTTAAAAATATTTGCATATTAATTGACAGTGGCAAAATAGTTTGTACTTTGGTAATATTAAGTGTGAAGGAAAGAATTTCTAAGGAAAACATAGAAATAAAACTAATTTCTAAAACATTAAAGAATAAAGAAAGCAAAATAGATAAAATGTAATTTTTAAGTGATCATCAGTCCATGAAAAAGTTAACTGAAATGCTTTACCCAAATTCTTATAAATTTCTTCACATTTTTGAAAAGAAGTCTCAAGTTGAACCAGGAACTCTTTTTCTTCAATAAATCTCTGGGGGGGAAAGGAAAAAAAAACATATTGACAGTTTTTACTTTTCATAATACAAAACTGTTATTTATTGTACATTTACTTATGCCAACAGTATAATTACTTAAATAGAAAAATGAAAATTCAAAGGCAAAAGAAATAAAAACATTTGAAATCTAGTTTGGTTTAGAACAATGCTTCTTATTTGGAAACGTATAGTATTTAAACCATAAATTATAAATAAATTTCTCCTCATATTTTTCAATTTTTGCAATGAAACTTAAAAGCTTTGATTTTTCTTTTCCCATCCCTCATTTCCAAAATGGGAAGAGAAAAAAAGATAAGGCCTAAGCGTAGAAGTGACATTAATGGCATTTCTGTGATGCTTTAGTTTTAATACATAGGTGAACACACATAATATTTAAATCAATTGAAACATTTTTCCTATAAATTGGAAGTCCTAAAAAACACACACATGCACAAAATCAAAACAAAACAAAAAATTGTTTTTCTAACTACTAAAATTTAAGAGAGGCTAAGATCAAAATGGTGTAAGAAAAATGTAATTAATGAATGAATCTATAAATCAGAAAGAAAAAAGTATTAAGCAACATTTCAAGTAAAAGATAAAATTTCAATGGAGAAAACATTGAAACCTGCTCTATTAACATTAATTGGCCGGTTAATCCCCCCTGGGGTGGTGAATAATACTGTCTTCTCTTTCTTACCCTTTCCTGCTATTTGACTACCCATCATTCTCTTCTTTGGACAACATTTTAAGCTAATGAAAGCTACCAAGAAACCCCATCTTCAAAAACTTGAAGAGTTAATGAGAAATACCACCAAGGAAAAATGCAAATCCAGCTCCCGGACATGAAAAATAGTTGCCTACAGTACAATATAAAACATCTTACATGCCAGTCTTCCAGCAACAATTCCACAGAGTCTTTGCTGCCATAGTTAACGTTCCAAACATCCAATTTTGATTTCACTTCATCTAGCAAACCAAGAACTGAGCACTTATAGTAATGAAATTCCAGAAGTAGAATGAATTTCTTCCCCAAAATATTGTTGAGTCTGGAAAACAGTACAGGTTTTTAAATTTAACTTGATTTCACTGACCAAATGTAAGAAATCTGTTCAGCATTTTAAAAAATTGGGGGCTTCAACTTTTTCTTTTAAACACATAGAATTCAGAAGTATTCTCAAGTCTGGTCCTTTTCTTTTCTAAACAGTGTAAAATAAATATAGTGGCTAGATAATAAAACAACCATTTCTTTTTTTTAGACAGAGCCCTAAGCTGGGTAGAGTGCCGTGGTATCACAGCTCACAGCAACCTCCAACTCCTGGGCTCAAGCGAGTCTCCTGCCTCAGCCTCCCAAGTAGCTAGGACCATAGGTGCCCACCACAGAGCCCAGCTATGTTTTGGTTGCAGTCATCATTGTTTTGGCAGGCTGGGCTAGATTCAAACCCACCACACCTTAGGTGCATGTGGCTGGCGCCTTAGCCACTTGAGCCACAGGCACCGAGCCAAAACAATCATTTCTAAAGTGAAAACATCAAAACCCAAACATTTTCTGAAGAACCTATTTTCCTATTAAGAAATTTTGCAATAAAATGTTGATCTACAAAATATTTCACTAAGTTTGAAAACTTCTGTATAAGTTAATAAAAACTACAGTTTAAAAGTTTATGTATTGGCTGGGCGCCTATAGCTCAAGCAATTAAGGCGCCAGCCACAGACACCAGAGCTGGCAGGTTCAAATCCGGCCCGGGCCTGCCAAACAACAATGACAACTACAACCAAAAAAACAGCTGGGTGCTGCGGTTGGTGCCTGTAATTCCAGCTATTTGGGAGGCTGAGGCAAGAGAATCGCTTAAACCCAGGAGTTGGGAGGTTGCTGTGACCTGTGATGCCACAGCACTCTACCCAGGGCGACAGCTTGAGGCTCTGTCTCAAAAAATGAAAATTAAAAAAAAAAGAAAAAAAGAAAAGTTTATGTATTAACGATAGTTTTCATTATGAAGGATAATACCATCTTATCACTCTAATAAACTGCTTATGCGTAATGAGCAAAGAGAAGACAATAAGGGTACCATCAATTAAATAACCTCTATTCATAGCCCTTTAAGGTTTATAAAGGGCTTTCATGTACTGCCCCCCATTTGATGCAGTATCCTTCTAAGATATGTGCACGGTAATTATCATCATCCTACATTCATAAATGAGGAAACATGTTCAAAAAGAGAGTAACTTAGCTAAAACCAAGAGCTATGTTTCTAACTCTAAATCCAGAAGTTTTTCCCTCAAATTCCACCATTCACTAAAAAAGGGAGTATGTTAGCATGAAATAAAGTTCCTATTACACAAAACATGAAGATACTATTATCAAGACATAAGTACTTGGTGGTCCCCGTAGCACCATGTCAGTGCTTAAAGATGGACAGTACATGAATGACAATATTACAAACCGTCTTCTCATTTCATCCAGTTTGGTAGGTGGTACCAGGGCCAAATGTTTTTCATCTGTATTTTCAAATGTAAGAAGGATGTTCGAATAACAGTCAAATCTATCCATCAGACTCTGAAAAGAAATTTAGCATGACATAAACCAGATTTACTGCCAAACACTATCATTGAGGATTTACTAATGTCATTTGCATTAAATTTTTTTCTTTTTAAATCATAAAGCCCCATTTTCTTAAACAAGACTTTGAGAATAAATATTTTCATCACAAATGTTTTAAATTGAAACATTTTACAGAGAGGCAGCCTGCAATTTCTTTGGTAAAGCCATTATCAAAATCTTCTGTTTTCTGGTGTATTTTTCATTCCTCTTATGGCCTTAAAGGCTATAAATCTCACATACGAAATTCCTTTATGCCATTTTAGTGAGAACCCAGTCTTCAACATTTTAAACCAGTCTCCCCTGGTTGCTACCTGGGTTTTTTCTTTTGTGTTAAAGTTGCTTTAGAATTCTATTCCGATTTATTCTTACTGTTTTAACCTGAAACTAGCACTAGAGTCATGAATATGAAGGAATCTTCCAGGTCCCCCAAATTTCCAAGGGAATCATTCTAAACCCATTATATTTTCTTCTCTTCCTTCTAGGGAAAACAAAGTCTTCCTGGAGAATAATCTCTAACAACGTATGGATTTTTCCACATCTCTTTCTTTTTTCCAACCTTGAATAAAGTCATTCTCTCTTGTGTCAGAGTCATGGCTGTGGAGTAATCCTGGGAGGCTGGCAAGCTGTCACCAATGAGCTCCTCTACCTCCTGGAGCCAGGCTTCAATTTCATTGAGGGGTTGGGGCAAGGCATAATTCAGCTGTGCTTTCCATGCATTAACCTGGAAGAAAGGAAGATGTCCTTCAGTAGTAGAACTTGTCTACTTTCTTTCTTCACACACGTGTGTTTAATTCTGTAAGTTTTCCCTGAAAGCCATAATTGATAAATGCAATCCATCAATCAAGGAAATCTTTATCAAGGGATAAACTTCTTCAAATATCACTTAGCTACTTGGTGATCAGGAATACTCTGTCCAAAAGCTGAAGGAAAAGAGGAAAAGCAAACAAATGTTTGATAAATCCATAATTAAATGAGGGGAGATATTTCTAGTACCCCTCTAAGCAAGGATGGACTATCATATTGAAAGACCATCATTTAAAAGCTGTGTGCTCTAACTTTACAACTACACCTTCCACACAGGGTTATAGATCATTTTCCTCACTAGCCCTTACCATATATCCACATGCAATATCTCTACCATATCTTCTGAGTATCCATCATTCAGCAAAGCCCCGCACAATGCATGCACACCACAACCTTCCTCAGCCTTCTACCACTCCCTACCTGCACCTGCATGTGACCACTCTTTTCTCCACATATTCTCTGTACTCTCATGGTTTATTCATTTATTTATTATTTATTTATTTTTGAGACAGAGTCTCATTCTGTTGCCCTTGGTATTGTGCCATGGCATCATAGCTCACAGCAACCCAAACTCTTGGGCTCAAGAGATACTCTTGCCTCGGCCTCCCAAGTAGCCAAGACTAGAGGTGCCTGCCACAATATCCAGCTAGTTTTTGCTATTTTTAGTGGAGGGAGCGGGGTTATCACTCTTGCTCTGGCTAGTATTGAACTTCTGAGCTCAAGGGATCCACTCACCTCAGCCTCCCAGAGTGCTGGGATTACATGCATGACCAACCATGCCTGGCCTTAGTCTCATGTTTTAACTCTTACTGACTGACCTTCTGTCTACCCCTCTCCTAAATGTCATCAAAACTCACTCTTTTGCCAAAGTCCAGGGCCTTTTAAAACGAACTCATTGACTCACACCTACATTCATTCTGCAAACATTTATGAGTAACCAGTTACGCTAAGAATTGGGGGTAAAGATACAGGAGGTTAGGGCAGCGCTTGTGGCTCAAAGGAGTAGGGCGCCAGCCCCATAAGGCGGAGGTGGCGGGTTCAAACCCGGCCAAGGCCAAAAAAAAAAAAAAAAAAAAAAAAGATACAGGAGGTTTCTGGAGAGCATAGGGGACATGAGGAGTTGCCCACTGTACGGTTCTGTGCAGCAATTAGGAGCAAATTAGAAGCACATGTGGTGACACAGAAGCACCTTTAATCCATTTGATCAAAAAGAAACAACATATAACCTCAATTTACCCAACTGAAAAATATACCTGTACATAAATTCAATGTGTATTTTGCAAAATCATATAAAACAAAATGATACATATTAAACACATCAAAATAGTGGCCTAGGGAGAAAGGGGACTGGAAAGAAGGACTAAAAGAAAATAAACAAATAAAGCAAATGAATAGAAGACAGAACACAGTTACAGCAAAGCCTGGTGAATGATTTAACAAAGCCAGGCAGAGGCGACTGTGGAAGACCTCAGAAGAACGTTGACTCCTGACTGAATTCTTTTTTTGTTGTTTCTTTGATACAGGGTCTCACTCTGTCACATGTGGTAGCATGACCATAGCCCACTGTAGCCTTGAGCTCCTGGGCTCAAGGGATTCCCCTGCCTCAGCTTATCAAGTAGTAAAACTACAGGCACACACCATTGTGACCAGCTAATTTTTAATTTTTTGTAGAGAGGGGAAAAATGTTTTCATTATTGTGAATTTTAATATAAACAACTCAGCATTTGTGTTCATTATATTTAATTCTTTGCCCAGGCTGGACTTGAACTATCCTAGCCTCAAATAATCCTCCCATGTCAGCTTCCTAAAGTTCTGGGATTACAGAGGTGAGCTTCTACACCCAGCCAATGTCTGGCATTCTTAGACACAGTACAAAAATCTAGCTCCAAGGCCATCTCCTTCCCTGACAACCCCATTAAGAATGTGACTTTTGGCTGGGCATGGTGGCTCACACCTGTAATCCTAGCACTCTGGGAGGCAGAGGTGGATGGATTGCTTGAGCTCAGAAGTTCAAGATCAGCCTGAACAAGAGCAAGGCCCCATCTCTAAAAAAATAGCCAGATGTTGTGGTGGGTACCTGTAGTCCCAGCTACTCAGGAGGCTGAGGCATAAGGAACAGTTGAACCCAGGAGTTTGAGGTTGCTGTGAGCCACAATGACACCACAGCAGTCTATGCAGGGCAACAGAGTGAGACTCTGTCTCAAAAAAAAAAAAAACCCAAAAGTGACTTTTTATCCAAACTTACATAACTCTATTAACACTTCTGTGGCATTCTCATTCCAAAGACAGCCCTATGAAGATAAAGCACAAATCAAAATTTGTTTTATTCAAATAACTTTTCTTTCTTTCTTTTTTGAGACAAAGACTCACTACATCACCCTCGGTAGAGTGCTGTGGCGTCACAGCAACCTCAAACTCTTGGGCCCAAGCAATTCTCTCGCCTCAGCCTCCCAAGTAGCTGGGACTATGGGCACCCGCCACAACACCCAGCTATTTTTTGGTTGCAATTGTCATTGTCGTTTAGTAGGTCCAGGCCGGGCTCCAACCTGCCAGCTTTGGTGTATGTGGCTGGCGCCCTACTCACTGAGCTACAGGCACTGAGCCTCAAATAACTTTCCTTAATAGAAGTATTGGTCTTCAGTCTGTATTTTTTTTTCTGTTACCTAGTTTTAAATAAACTGTTACTATCTGTAGAATAGTTACTTCGTAGAATTAAATTGTTTTTAAATAAGAGAAAGAGTACAGAAAATCTGTGTATTACCTGAGATTTTAATTCATCATTTATTCATTGAAAAACATTTATTGGGTGCCCCTTACATGCAAAGTAAACACCTAAAAGACATTTATTTACCAACTACTTAGGGTATACAAAATGACAAAGCTAGGTTCCTTTAAGGGACTCAAATGGAATTGTTCATAAAACAGAAGCATTAAATATTATAGTTCTCCCATTTTGTTTTGCTTTTTTTCCCCTTGCAAGTTTATTTTCTCAAAGGCATGTGGTAAAGATAAGTCTACAAACTTAAATCATTAACTATACGTCATTAAGTCTCCAGCTGGAAAAAGAATGAATGTTTTCATCATTGTGAAGTTTAATATAAGCAAGTCAGCATTTGCTTTTACTATATCTAATTATTTGTGCATCTTTCAAAAAATAAAAAGTTACCAAAAAATTGATAAAGAATTGAGTTAAAGAGAGACTAAGAACAACATCTCTAATCCCACTATTATTCTTTGCACAGCTAAAAGAAAGCTGTATATATTTTTAATGAAATTAAAACCATGCTTTCTGACTCAGAGCTACACTCAATATTCACGTAGCAGTTAGTTTACCCTTCATTCCTTCCTTTTCTCTTAACATAGAAAACTCGTTCCACACTCCCTTTCTTAGACAATTACTTTTCAATTTGGCTGAAAATTTATATAAGATCTTATCAGGTCAAAATAACATAATGTTGCCATTTTCTATAGCCAAAAAAAAGAACAAAAACCATTTACTATATGATGTTTTGAGATATCTGTTCTCAAACTATTGAAACAGAGACTGTCTAGATGGCATTGACATTTATACACTTGATAATTTTAAAATCAGCATGTCTTATTTTGCCACACCAAGAAAATGAGCTGCAGTCTAACTGACTAAGGAATAGATTTCCAGGCTACTATCAAGTTGCAGTACTTAATTTTACAAAATGATTCTTTTTATGGTTTTTCTCATTATTTGGGGTAATTTTTTCATATTTGGCAAAATTAGGCCAGGCCTCCGTGGCCTGGAACAGCCTGAACTATGCAGAAAGTACTTTCTTCCCTGACTTGTATTTTGCCAATGACCTGTCACAGAGGGCTCTTATCCTTTACAAGAGTCAGTTTCAAAGCTGTGATCAGACCAGGAATTGACAGCGCAATGGTACCTCCATTTGATGGGATTGTTCCTGCATTGATGGGATGGTTCCTGTACAACTCTTAAAAGTCTATACAAACTTTAGAATGTAAGCAGTGCCTGAATCTCAGTAGATAGAGTGCTGGCCACATACACCAAGGCTGGTGTGTTTGAACCCAGCCCAGGCCAGCTAAACAGCAATGACAACTGCAACAACAATAACAACAAATAGCCAGGCTTTGTGGTGGGCACCTGTAGTCCTAGATACTTGGGAGGTTGAGGCAAGAGAATTACTTAAGCCCAAGAGTTTGAGGTTGCTGTGAGCTGTGATATTATGGCACTCTACCCAAGGTGACACTTGAAACCCTGTCTCAAAAAAAAAACTTTAAAATGTATATTATAATCTCTAAATCAACCACTAAAAATGGTATTACATACTTTAAAAGCATGGCTCTTTTAAGTCACCAGGCTACTTAATCACTGGTAGCAGTTAGTTACTGGTGTGGAAAATATACTCTGAAAAGAGGCCCAGCAAGGGATCAGCAAACTTTTCCTATGCAGGTCCAGAGTAAGTACTTTTGACTTTGTAGACCATACAGCTTCTGTTACTCTAAAGTCATTAAAAATTATTTTGTTGCCCATGTGAAATGGTGAAATCTATGATATGTAAATTTTTTTTTTTAAAAAAGACAGAGTCTTACTCGGTTGCCCTGGATAGAGTGCTGCAGCATCATCACAGCTCACAGCAACCTCAAACTCCTGGTCTCAAGTGATCCTCCTACCTCAGTCTCCTGAGTAGCCAGGACTACAGATGACCCACGTGCCTCAGTCTCCCAGAATGCTGGGATTACAGGCCTGAGCTACCATGCCCAGCCTATTATATATGAATTATATCTCAATAAAGTTGTTCTTAAAAAAGAATAAAGACAAAATAGAAACATTTAGAAATCAAGGAAAACTGTGTGGATTGTTATTTACTGACCACTTGCATTATAAAATAAGTTAAAGTTTTCAGATGCAAGTGAAATGAGCTCAATGGAAACTCAAAGTTCTAAGAAAGAATGAAAAATATTGGGAATATCTAGATAAATATAAAATACTAGTTTTTTCTTTTAATTTCTTTAAAATACAAGACTGCTTAGAGCAAAATTTACAATATGGCCTTGGGGACTTTAAGACATGTTTGTGTCATATATATGACATATACATGTAGATAAACAACGTTGGCATAAAAATGTAAACTAAGTCAATGAACTTGATTACAAGATCTCTACATATTACAAGACATACAATACGTTAGAAATGATACAACTCTAAGCCAGCTGCAGTGGTGTAAACCTATAGTCCCAGCAACTCAGAAAGCTAAAACGAGAAGATTACTTGAGACCAGGAATTTGAGGCTGCGGTACACTATGATTTTACCTGTAACAGCCAATGCATTGTAGCCTGGGCAACAACACCATCTCCAAAAACAAAAAAAGGCGGGGGGAGGAAATTGTACAACTCTTAGAAGTCTATAAAAATTTTAGAATGTATATTATAATCTCTAAAGCAACCACTAAAAATATGATAGGAAGAGGCAAAGCCAAAAAATCAATAGACAAGTTAAAATTGAGTTCTGGGGGAAAAAACGAAAACACACCTAACCATCCGAACCCAGGCAAGAATAGAAGGAATGTAAATATATAAGCCCATACAGAAGGAATAAACAAACAGTAAAATGGTATATCTAAATTAAACTATATCAATGATTACACTAATGTTAATGGACAAAGCACCACAATTAAAAGGCAGAGATTGCCAGAACGGATAAAAAGCAAGATTCAACTATATGCAGTTTATAAGAGATGTACTTTAAATACAAATATTCAAAGAGGTTACAATAAAGGAAAAGGATGTGCCATACAAACAGTCACCATCAGAAAAGTAGACTGACTATATTCACATCAGATTAAGCAGATGTCTTGGAAAACAATATTACTAAAGATAAACAGGAGTATTTCAAAATGGTAAAAGTGTCAATCCATCAGGAAGACAAAATAATCATAAACATGTACACACCTAATAACAAAGTTTTAAAGTATATGAAGCAAAATTTGACAGGATTAAAGAGAGATTGCTACAGGTTTTAATATCTTTCTCTCAGTCACTGATAAAACAGGTGGACAAAATATCAGCCAAGACAGAAAATCCAAACAATACTGTCAATCACCTAGCATTAATTGATACTTTACAGAATCCTATACCCAGTAGCCACAGAATGCATGTTGTTTTCTACTGCACGTGGTTATATGTATACCATACGCTTGGGCCATAAACCAAACTTAAAAGGGCTGAAATCATGCAGATATATTTAGACACACATACGCACATTCATCCTTATACATTCTCCCTGGATTCATCTCTACCCCTTTCAAGCACCTACTGATATGACACATGATGGTAGAGAAGCGGCTGTAGGTCAGTCAAAACACAGACAGTCTACTATGGTGAACTAAGAGTTGATGGCAAATATAACTCTGGAAAAGCTTGTGTTTTCTCTAAACAGAATGATATAATTTCCTACTTAAATCCAACCCCCATCCAGATGATGCCACGGAGACAATATAAGACTCCTATCCCATTTTCTGATGAAGCATCTACCCTGTCTGCTACAGAATTTCTCATGGAAGTCTAAAGTCCTCATCCAGCAAAACACAGAAGAACAATGAAAATCAACATAATAGTAACCTGGTACTTGAGGCCATCCCAGGCTTCTCTCAGCTGTAACTGATCTTCATCCAGGTTAACGAGATTCCTTTCTTTTGACAGAATATCCAAAAGGAATTTCTTCTCTTCATCGAATGACTCCATAAAGGACAGCAGGTTCTACAATTAGAAGAGCATGGTAAAGACGAAAATATTTACTTCTGGTTATAAATTGGAATCTGCTATACATTTTGAGGTCTATCACTATAGGTTATATTTAAGTTTTTACTTAAAGGGAAAATCTCCAGAATCTAGTGTCGTCTCTCTGACTAGTGTCTCTCTTGAGTGCGCTATGATACTCTGGGTGCAGCATAATGACACAGGCCTTCCTCAGCTATGTCTCCTGTCAGTATTGTTAAATTTCTACTGGAACGGAGCAGTGAGGCCAGCTGGCTATAGAGGACAGATCAAGAAGCCACCTGGAAAAATATGAGTTTGTCCTTCCCTTCCCAAATATGTGTTCACAACAAAATAAGAATGAGTGGATGTGACAGAGCCAGACTCTATCTCAAAACAAACATACAAACAAACAAAAAACCAGTTTCAGAAGAACAGTTCTAGAATTCAGCCTTAAAACCTGCAGTTAACTTAATATTTAAATAATTAATTCTAAAAGAGTTTTCTAAAAACAGACTTACTATTCTTCCCTAAAAAAGTAAACTGAAAAAGGGGAGGTCAGGAGCCAGTGACAGATAAAAATCTACCTATTGGATACAGTGTACACTATTTGGGACAGGTACACTGAAAGCCCCAGCCTCCGAGTTATACAATTCACCCATGCAACAACAATAGCAAGAAACTACTTATGCCCCTAAATCTATTGAAATCATAAAATATAGATACACTTTTTAAGTAAATTAGAGATAGCTCTTTGTGGTCACACTCACACAATACTTTGTAAAGTCTGTCTCGTTTTCCGAATCCTTTAGCGCCTTCTGTAGTTTCTCCTCTTGCAGCCTCAACCAGAGCATGGCATCTTTCACCTTTCCCTGTAACTAGATTTGATTTCTTTTTTAATAATAAAATTAAGAATTCAAAATGTCAGTAAAATACTTACCATCAATACACACTAATGACTCATTATGCCAAAGAATAATTTTCCTTGTTCATATAATACCTGAAATTGTAAAACCCATTGAAACTAGCATCTGAACATAACAACACGTGCTAAAGAAAAGGGCAAGCGAACTCCTCTCCCTGTCCTTGGCTTATCCATTTCCACAATTCTCAATTTTAGAGAATGTTATTCTAAATCACTTCTTTATAGTAGGCATTTCCAATGACTGATTTCTAATAAATCAAAATATGGGGTAATTCAAAAATATCTGGAACATTTTAAAGATCCTAAAAATAATACTACTAAAGATTTTGGCTATGCTATCCTATAAAAGTCACCGACAATTGTTTTTTCTTAAGGCTTGCTTGTATCTGAAAGCAGATTTCACTGCTATAGGATAAAGCAGAAGTTACATCTTCCTTCCATTCCTCTTTAGCCTCCATTTACTTTCTTTTTTATTAAGCAAAGGTGTTTTTAATATTTTCCATCCAATTTCATGGACAGTTGAATTTTTAATTTTATTTTTAACATGAAAATTAATCAGAACAGAGGAGCTCCTCAGCAGGGCAGAAATAGCCGGAATTATAAGCCTGTATCTCAGCTTGAGTCTCCCTTCCAGAGTCAGTAACAATCTGGCTTCTTTCCTCAAACACAACAGCTGGAAAAACAAAGGCCTAATTTGGCAAACAAAATGCATGAAAGCATGCCTGAGAAAGTAGTTTAAAGTAAATTTTAACTTATTCATAAACATTCTACTAAATCCACAGCACTCATTTATCTTCAATAAGAGCTTCTTTTCAGCTTAGAGAGTTTTATGAAATTTTCACCCACTATATTTTGTATAATAGAGTGAAAGCAAAAAGGAAAAACCAAATAATCAAACAGCAATCTAATAGTAATTCAAGAGTATCTCAACAAACAGTGATCAACAGTAAAATACAATGCCTCCATTTACATGAACAACACACTCCCATCTATATGAATCACATAGTGCCATTTTATGGAAGCTGAAAAGAGGTGAAATGGAAATGTGCTCAAGTTAGATGATAGTTATGGTTGCACAACTGTGTAAATATACTAAAACCCACTGAACTGTATATTTTAAATAGCTGAATTTTACAGAATGTAAATTATATCTCAACAAAGGTAAGAAAAATTACAACAGACAAAAATTTGACATCTCTAGAATTTTTTAAAAGCCAGCTTAATTTAATTTGTCCTATATGGTACCTGTCTAAAGGTTATTCCTGAAAATTCAGCAAGTGTAATAAATTATCCCTTTTAACTTAAAAATTAAAAAAAAAAATAAAATAAGCAACACTCATCGATAGTGAAAGGAATCAAAAAACTGGTTGCCTGAGGTGGGAAGCATAGAGAAAAAAGAGGCAGAGTGGAGCATTCTCAGTACTAGAAATGTTTCACACCATGATTGGGTATGGTTAATATGGGTGAACACTTCAGCACAACACAAGTATACATTTCAAATTTTAAAAATTAAAGTATTAGGAGAGTATAACAAAAATGAGTTTGATTTGTACTTAGGAAGACATACCTGAGGCTTATCTCTAGTCCCAGCTGTGTGTCTGGAATACTGTAGAAACTGTGCAACGTAGGTCATGATCGACTTTTCATCAGGATTATCGACATCCACATCTGTAGGACACATCGCACTATCAACCGGCTATAGACAGGAGTCACTGTAATGAACACCGAGGACAGGCTATGCCAAGCCTATGCCACTGGCTCATAGGCTCTTGAAATGAACAAAGTAGCAGACATACCATCTCTGCTTGCTTACCCCTGCTCCAAGACAGAGCAGTGAAGAGCTTAGATCTGCAGTCAGACAGATCTGGGTTTAATCCTGCAATAGTATATGCACAGCTGCTTTCTAATCAGAAAGTGTCACCATGGACACTGTATGCATGAGGGCATAAGTAGTCAGGAAGGGTGGAAAGGAAAAAAAGCATTCCTCTTTCTGTAGACACAGTGCAAAAATTCCTCCAGGAGAGCAGACACATACAATAAATGGAATCGGTTCCTGACACACTGGTCTCAGCATTTGTGTAGTAAAGCATTTCCAGAAGATATAGTGTTCATAAGTGGATTAAAATGTGGTATATGTACTGTGGAATACTACTCAGCCATGAAGAAGGATAATTTATTGCCTTTTGCAACAATATGAATGGAACCAAGTGTTGTGGCAGCCACCTGTAGTCCCAGCTACTTGAGAGGCTGAGGCAAGAAAATCGCTTAAGCCCAAGAGTTTGAGGTTGCTGTGAGCTATGATGCCATGGCACTCTACCCAAAACAACAGCTTTGAGACTCTGTCTCAAAAAAATAAAAATAAAAATAAAAAGACTAAGTAACACATCTAGCACCCAGACCTTGCTTTGTTTTTTTATTTTTTTGAGGCAGGATCTTGCTCTGTCTCCAAGGCTGGAGTGCACTGTAGCCTCAATGTCCTGGGCTTAGCCTCCCCAGAAGCCCCTGGCTCATTTCTCTCTCTCTCTGTTTTGGGAAACACAGGCTGGTCTCAAACTCCTGGCCTTGAGTGATCCTCCGATGTCTGCTCCCAAAGAGCTGGGATTACAGGTGTAAGCCATGATGCCCTGCCAAGATCTCGATTTCTAACGCCAATAAAGAAACCAAGGCTCCTTGGAGAAATGCTGATTCTGATATTGGGGCAGGAAATATACAAGATAAGCCCAGAGGATCCTCTCATGCCAGAAAGCGAAGAAGTGCTTTAGAAAACAAAAGGAAAAAAAGCAAACCTGATATTGATGAGGATAGTCAAAGGAGCACAGGAACTAACTCAAATAGCTCCCAATGGCCAAGATTATTTTTTTAATTTGCACATTAAAATAAAGTAGTATTAGATTACAACTAAAAGTATAAAATATCAACAAGCCCATATATACCAACAAATGATTGAACAAATAAATAAATGGGGAGAACAGACAAAGCTCCTATGCAGAAGAAATTCAAATAATTCATGTAAATAATGTAGTCAAGGAAAGAGAGGACAACTCTCTGGAGTGTGTGGAGTGACTTCTCCAAACAGTATGGAAAGAAGAGGAGAAAAAGTAACTTCACAGCAGAGGAACCTGACAAACACAACCTCAGCCAAGTGGCCAGTCAGCCTCCACAGCGCGCAGTCACACTGTTAGTGCACACCCTTGACACAGTTGGATGAGAATGACACCCTACCTCTGCAGGCTCCTCCCAAGAACCCATATGCCCAGGCTAGTCTGGGACAAAAAAGTATAAGACAAATTTTGAAACACTGAACTAGTGATCCTCAAAACTGCCATGATCACATCAAACAAAAAACTGTCACAGTCAAGAGGAGACTGAGGAGGTAAGGCAAGGAAATGTAATGTGGTCTCCTGGTAGAATCTTAAAAGAGAAAACAGTTCTTAGGCAGAAACTAAGGAAATATGAATAAAGTACAGCTTTTATTTACAATAATATGCCTATGTTGATTTACTAATTGCAATAAATGCAGCGAACTAATATATTAAGAAAAATTGAACCCAGGGCATATGGGAAGTTAGTGTACCACCTTCTCAATTTTTCTGTAAATCTAAAAGTATTCTAAAAAATAAAGTTTATTTTAAAATTTAAAAAGTAATGAAAAATGGGGAGTGATTACTAATGGTCACAGGGTTTCTTTGGGAGATAATGAACATGTTCTAAAATTGCTGGCTCGGCACCTATAGCTCAACCGGCTAAGGCGCCAGCCACGTACACCTAAGGTGGCGGGTTCGAATCCCCAGCCCGGACCCGCCAAACAACAATGACGGCTGCAACCAAAAAATAGCCGGGCGTTGTGGCGGGCGCCTGTGGTCCCAGCTACTTGGGAGGCCGAGGCAGAAGACTCGCTTGAGCCCAGGAGTTGGAGGTTGCTGTGAGCATGATGCCATGGCACTCTACCCAGGGGGACAGCTTGAGGCTCTGTCTCAAAAATAAAATAAAATAAAATAAAATAAAATAAAATAAAATTGCTCATGATGATGACGGTGTAATTTCGTGAATATAGTTGTCCTTTGGCATCCATGGGGGATTAGTTCCAGGACTCATTTCTAGATTACTTATAATACCTCATACAATCCAAGTGCTAATAGGTAAGTAGTTGTTATACTCTATTGTTTAGGGAATAATGGCAAGAGAAAAATAGTCTATGCATGTTCAGTATAGATGCAAATATTTTTGGTCCGTGGCTAGTTATCTCCACAGATGTTGAAACCATGGGTATGGAGGGCTGGCTACACACTGAAAATCAGTGAATTATGCATTTAGATGGGTAAACTGTGTAGTATGTGAACTGTGCTCAGTAAAGCTATTTTAAACGAAAAGGTTAAATGATGAATCCACTCACTTGGTCAGTGGTATTCTGGAGCCAGCTGGCTCACACCACCTTAAAAGAGCTGACTGTTAAATGTTCAGCAGTTTTAAAAGCTGATTGTTAAAAACAATCATCATTGAAAATTATTAATATATGGGTGTACAATTCAGTTATATTAAAAGCAAATGTAATAAATACCCAAAACTCGTTACTCCCCAATTATTTTACATTTCAGTGGTATCTATTTTATATGAATGCTGGAAATAACATACACTGGTGTACTACTGAACATCTTTTTCCAATTCTGTGTTCAATGACTTCACATTAGTAGCCTGAAATCAGTCCTATTGGTAGCATCTACACCACAGAAATCTGCAAATGAGGCCTCAATTTTAATATTTTGGTGATTGCTAAAAAAGGAATGAAGAAATTGCTAACAATGCAGATAAATCCTAAAAGTGTGTCTTTTTCTTTCTTTTTTTTTTTTTCAGCCAGAGCCAGAGCCAGAGTCTTATTCTCCCACCCTCGGTTAAGTGCCATGGCACCATAGCTTATAGCAACCTCAAACTCCTGGGTTCAAGCAATCCTCCTGCCTCAAGCTCGGACTACAGGCACTTGCCACAATGCCCCACTCTTTAGTTTTTCTATTTTTAGTAAAGATGAGGTCTCATTCTTGCTCAGGCTCATCCTGTTGGGAGGCTAAGGTGGGTGGATTGCCTGAGCTCAGGAGTTCAAGAAAAGTGCATCCTTTTGATAGTTTAATTGTAACTAGCAGAAAGGGTGACAAACATTCTTCCGGTATTCAGTTCAGCAAGGAAGTCATTCATGGCAATGAAGAACAAATGAAATTCTGAAATGCTCCTTGCTGTTCCACTTACTCAGTAATGCAAGAGAAATTATAACGTTAACGTCAGAGCTATGCTTGTTCAACACTAACTACCCTAAGGTGGTGACAGATGGACATGAGAGTTTGGCAAAAATCAACAAAAAGATCTGGGTGCCATGTGTAATTTATAATGAAGCACATCATATATTTAATATTATTTGTTAATTGTGTACTATACATCCTTTCTACTGGTAAAATTTATAACACATATTAATGTGTTTATACTTCCCATTGTTTTGACAGCCAATCATTATACGTTGATATTCACAGCCCTGGTTCCAGAGCCAAGACTAGAATTCATATGTACTTGATTGTTAGTTCATTATAATTTTCACTAATTCAATAGACTTCTTTCATGATTTTAATATTTTTAACAGCTTTGTTTACATTATGAAACAATCCAATTGAAAGTGAAGTGCTTTGGAGGATTTAAAATTAGAATAATTTATAACTTGATGATGATTGTCGTCATTATAATTAGTACTCAGGATTTTGTTGTTGCTAATAACCCAACACAACTGATGGAGTAAAATCAATGGGCAAAGCTTGGCCACCCGCAGAGGGAGAGATGTGAAAGCAGGAGTTCCTGTTCTCATAGAGGTGAAGCTTTAACTAGGAGCAGGAAAAGAGGAGTAGGGAAGAGGTGACATATAAACAAGTTAATTCAAGACTCAGGGAAACATCTTACACAAGAGAATTAGAACAGAGTAACAGAATCCAGGAGAACACAATACTGAACACAATGGAAGAAAATGAAAACAAAGGCTTAAATTATTTCCAGCAACAACATTGTTTGCTTTATCTGTAGCTTTCCCCCTAATTATTGAAGTTAACTAACTGGTAGGAATTCTTGATTTTGTAAAATTCAACGAAGAGTTTAAGTTACAAAGTCTTCAGGATATAAATACCATGCTATTATGTTTTCTTACAGAGAGATACTATTTTCGAATTAATTTTACACTGGACCTTCTGATAAAAATTGTTTAAAAAAAAAGTTCTTTACCTTCAGGTTCTAGCATTTTAGGGATTTTTAATTCTTGTTCTGCAATTCTGAAGGCCTCTTCCAGATTGTCTTTGCTGGACCTGTGCTTCACACTCCTCATGTCAATAAGGTCTGGTCGCAAGGCATGAATGACTGTCAAAAAAGCTATCCCATTTCTCCAGCTTGACTTAAAATCTGTCACACTGACAGACTCGTGCCTATCACAAAGGGACAAAAACATGATAAGTACTTCAAAAAATAATATATTAAGACACTTCTACTATATTCAATACTAATTAAGACAAAATTCAATGACTCAAATAAATGATTTAAAAGATTCTAGATAAAAATATTATTTTAATCTTAGGGTGAAATTAAAATACCAAGTTTGATGAGACTCAAGATATCACAAAACATCAGTTCTCAAAACATGGTTCCATACCAGCAGCATCAGCACCACCTGGGCAGCAGGTATTAGAAACACACCTTCTCCAAGTTAGTGCTGAGTACATGTGGCTGAGCGACACTTACGTATATTTATGGAAGTAAAACTCAAAGGAATTTAAGTGCAGAGGAGGTAGGAGGAATAGGGTAAATTTACATCTAATGGTGCAATTGCCTATATTCTGGGCAAAGGGCATACCCATAACTTTGACTCAAAATATACAAAAGCAAATTAGGTAATCACAATGTGTTTACCCCTATATGAAAAAGAATGGGGGGGGAGAAATGCACATTCTCAGGCTCACCCCATACCTATGAATCAAACTTGGAGACAGACCTGAAAGCTGCTTCTTTATAAGGCTTCCAGGTGATAATGATATTCACTCAATTTTGAGGCTCCTCATTCAACAATCGGTTGGCTCAAGATTGACTTTTCAACCTTTTTTTATCACATGGCACACTTGAACCTACTGTTAAACTTTCAAGGCACACGTAAATTATATTGATCAGTTTGATGGAAGTATTTCAGATTGCATGTGAAAACCCCACACTGTACCCCAGAAGTGCATTAATGTACATAGTTACCATTCAATAAAAAAAAAAAAAAAAATTATATTGATCAAAAAAATGTAAAAAAACACTTACCATGCTTTGAACTTATTCCAAAAATAATTTAATTAATTAATGATCTTTAAGATTTTTGTGGCACACTATTTGAAAATCACTGCTTTAGACCTCCACCCAGTTATGGTCCTCCACTAGAAGAAACAGTTTTCCTTCTCACTGGGACAAATGGAAAGATCTATTGTGCCAAATCACTGGCCAGTAGCTTACTAGATACTCTCCTCTGCTTAAAACCTACTATCTCAGATGACTAGATAAACAAAATGTGATATATGCACACAGTGGAATATTACTCAGCCTTAGGAAGGAAATTGTGATAAATGCTGCAATGTAGATGAACTTTAAAGATTTTACACTAAGTGAAATAAGCCAGACACAAAAGGACAAATATATGATTCTACTTTTACGAGGTAAAGGAGCAATCAAATTCATAGACAGAAAGTGGTTGCCAGGGCTGGGAGTGGGGGAAATGGGGAGTTATCGTTTAATAGGTACAGAGTTTCCATCTTATAAGATGAACAAAGTTCTAGGGGTGGGTGGTGGTTATGGCTGCACAACAATGTAAACCACTTAAAAATGGTCAAAATGGTAAATTTTATATCATGTACATGATGTAAAAATTAAAAATAATCTCTCTCTATAAAGACACTGTTAGCAGGCCATTGTACTTAGAATAACATCTCTCACTCAGGCCCTCAATGCCCCACATTATTTGGCCCCTGCCCACCGCTCCCATCCTTATACCTTCCCCTCACTTCCAACGTTGTGGATGCACTGGCCTCAATCCTGTTTCCATGGTGGCTCTTTCCCAATTGCCACGGTACCTGTGCACCCCCTTTTCAGACATCGTACATCTGACACCTGCTCCATCAGAACTCAGCTCCAAGTCCGCTTCTCAGCCAGGCCCTGCCTGACCACTCACAGCAGACACTCTCCCTAACTCAGCATCCGTGAACAGATCAGACGTCCGTCCTAGTCTTACTGCTGGTAATTACCATCTTACTTCATCTGCTCCCAAAGGGCCCTGCCTTTCTCGTTCACCACAGTAGCCTCACCTCCAAACAGTGCCTGGTACAGACTGGGAGCTTAATGTATATACTTTCTTTAATCACTCAGTCACTGTTATGTAGTTGTTAAGGGATCAGTGAAAGTTTTGTAAAAGAGTATAGTCACCCACACATTTGGAAAATATTCCAGAACAACTACAGTTTCCTTTAACATTCTATAAAAATGTCCCATAAAAAGCATGAAGAAATTGAAGGTCTGAGTCAAATGATAACAAGTCCCCGGGAAATAGTCTGCTCCAGATGGCCTGGGTTTTCCTGTTTACTTAGGAAAAAAGTTTAAACTATGACTGTAATGAACTACAGAGTAGTCATGATTTTTATGTTTGACAAATATGACATATTTGACAACCTCATGACATATTACTATAGTCCACAATTATGACTGACAAAACCAGAGCAAAAGAGATTAGGCATCCAAGGTCCCCAGTGAGAAAGGACACAGAGACAAGACTTCACCCCAGGGATTCTGGCTTCACAGTGAAATCTCAATTTCTAAGTTAAACTGAGAGTTAAGGGGTGGGAGCTGCAGCTGAGGGTAGGGCCAGATGCTCACAGTCCTCAAGGGGCCAGAGCCAGCTCAGCACTGACTGTTAGGCCCTGGACTCAAGAAAGCACCAGGCTACAAGGGCAGTTCCGCATGAACGTGTCAAGGCCAGCAGGATGCTGCTGCTGCCAGGCTGGCTTAGAGGGGGCAGGGTTAGGCTCCAGAATGGGTGGCCGAATCTAGGCTCATTTAGAAATTGGGGGATGGGGCCTGATCCACCTGTTTCACAAACAAGAAACTACAACATGTTACTTACAACACCATCTTTATATCTGAATCCCAGAGAATCACAGAATATTGAAGTAAAGGTTACCTAATAATATTACCAGTTATGGCAAAACTAGGATAAAGTCATGATGAATTACTTCAGAAGGGGTGCTGTGTTGCCATAAGGGTCTTGCGGATAAGCCATGTCCTGGAGAATAAGCATGCTTATTGAAATTGTGTTTTAAATAAAGGTGATCTGCTCGCTCAGGCAAAATGGCGAGCTTCTTTATTTGCAGTTGGTTTATATAGGGAATTTTGTACACGTGCACAATACAGCAAGGACCTCATTGATCCGTGTAAACATCATGTGACTACCTCATGAATAGCTTCCAGTAATCCACTCAACATACACCTTTTGACATAACCCTTTCAACATAACCCAATTTAACATAACTTAATGGTTATGTTAATTATAATGGAACATATAATTAACTTAATGGAACCCACCAGCCTTGGTGTATGTGGCCAGTGCTGTAACCACTGTTAGCCATGTTGTTAGCCATTACTTCTTTGTTCTTATCTGATGATGCCTGAGGCTATGGAGGAACAAGGTAGACTGAATACCTGCCCTTGCTGGCCTTGCTGTTTGGAGGCTGTTACTTCAGATCTTTCAACAAGGCATAAAGAAACTTCTTGGGCATACAGAAATTTGTGTGCAAACCTCTGCTCCCATGTAGGCCTTAAGTCAGGGGGGTTTTGCTAGAAACTTTTATAATGAATTTTCAGACTGGACTTTTCAAAAGCCTTTCATGAGCCCAAGTTTCATCTGTGCCATTAGATACCTGTATGCATTGGGTAAATTCCTCTTCTCTTGAGGTCCCTGAGCACATTTCCATTCCTGGACCCATCAGCAAGCAACCTTTGTTACTTACCACAGATCAGGAAAGGTTACTGATGGGTATCTGGTCAGTTTTCCAAAGGGCTTTTTTATGGACCTTATAAAGTCAACCTTAATGCCTTAACGCAGTAAATGCTATTCCAGCTGAAGCCCTGGTCATGTTAGGCTCACAATCCACCTGGCTACATGGGATTCTGTCTCAGTTTCTAACAAGTATGCCTGCACAAAGTCTTTTCACTGCTCTCTCTCAAATGGCTTTTTTGGCCAGAGGCATATAGGCATTTTGCCTATAGTGCTGTGTCTAAATGAGATTAGCATAGGATAAGAAGGAGAGCCATAGAGAAAAAATAAACTGTGGTGAAACAGACAGGGCTTAGAAAAGGCCTGAAGGTTATTTACACAGAAATGGAATCAATCTGAATATGGTATAATAACACTTTTCACACATCCGTTTGGGATTTATTTATTTATTTATTTATTTGAGACAGAGTCTCATTATGTCACCCTCAGTAGAGTGCCATGGCATCATAGCTCACGGCAAGCAATTCTCTTGCCTCAGCCTCCAAGTAGCTAGGACTACAGGTGCCTGCCACAATGCCCCTTATTTTTTGTTGCTGTTGTCATTGTCGTTTAGCTGGTCGGGCTGGGATGGAACCCACCTGCCTTGGTATATGTGGCCAGTGCTATAACCACTGTGCTACAGGCACCAAGCCCTGTTTGGGATTTTTTAAAATTTACAAAAACTGATGTAAAATTATCCCTAAGAGATTCAAGAAAAGGTTCATTTAATATAGTTTAAACCTACATATAAGGTTCTGAATGCTTGTGGCTCTCATAAAATATACTATAAAAATGACAACTAAAGGAAGGTAAGTTAAAAAAAAAAAAAAGGCTCAGCATCCATAGCACAGTGGTTACCATGCCAGCCACATGCACCAAGGGTGGTGGCTTCAAACCCTGCCTGGGCCAGCTAAACAACAATGACAACTGCAACAACAACAACAAAAAAAAAATAGCCAGGCATTGTGGGGAGTGCCTGCAGTCCCAGCTACTTGGGAGGCCGAGGCAAGAGAATTGCTTAAGCCCAAGAGTTAGAGGTTGCTGTGAGCTGTGATGCTACAGCACTCTACTGAGAGCGATGAGACTCTGAAAGAGAGAGAGAGAGAGGGAGAAAGAAAAGGAAGGAAGGAAAGAAAGAAAGAAAGAAGGAAAGAAGGAAAGAAAGGAAAGAAAGGAAAGAAAGGAAAGAAAGGAAGGAAGGAAGGAAGAAAGAAAGAAAGAAAGAGAAGGAAGGAAGGAAGGAAGGAAGGAAGGAAGGAAGGAAGAAAGGGAAGGAAGGAAGGAAGGAAGAAAGAAAGGGAAGGAAGGAAGGAAGGAAGGGAAGGAAGGAAGGAAGGAAAGAAAGGAAAGAAAGGAAGAAAGAAAGAAGGAAAGGAAGGTAAGTTGAAGGGAAAAACTAACCTCTGTCTCAGCTTTTCATTAGGTTTAGCAACACATTTACAATTCTATTTACTTAGACAATGCTAGGACATGACAAGGAATGCTTTCTGCTAAATTCCTCATTCTTCCCAAACTCCTTCTCAGCCATTGGTTAAAATAGAAAGATAAATGTCCATCTCACTTTGATTTCCAAGGTCAGAAGGTGGGTGGTGTCATCTGTGTAAACTAATGTACATGCTGTGTTGTTTAGGTAGCCTATTTCTATTTTTACTACCATAAAATGGAGACAATAGTAATATGTCATGAGGTTATCGTGTGTATGTATTTTTCTGCCCAAAAGCGAAAAATATTTTTCTTTGTTAGAAAAAAGAAAATTATAAGTACTATCTTCCCTTGCTCATCCTTACTTTTTTTTTTGCAGTTTTTTGCCAGGGCTCGGTTTGAACCCACCACCTCCGGCATATGGAGCCAGCGCCCGACTCCTTTGAGCCATAGGCACTGCCCCATCCCCACTTTTTTCAAATGCACACTCTCATCTGTTTCCTGATTGAGTTGAGTTTCTAAATAACAAGGACTGTGTTTTCTTAATGTAATCACACACAGCTCCAAGAGATAATCGTATATTTTGGTTACTTATTCAGTCATTAGTTCACTCATTCACTCATTCAATATACTGATGGCGCACCCATCATGAACTCACATCATGCTAGGTTCTGAAATTATATAATCAATTAAGATACAGTCCTGTCTTTCATAGCATTCACACTGTGGCAGCGGTTTTATAATCTAAATCCAGCTTCCAGATGAATGAGGGAACTGTGCCTAAAGAAAAGGATACTTAAATAACACACTATTTATACACAGTGATAGGCCACCTAAACAACACAGCAGGGACATCGTTTATACAGATGACACCTCCCACCTTCTGACCTTGGAAACCAAAAGCGAGTAAACTCATGGACCTCCGTGGCCCTCTACATTTGGGAGATTCACTGAGAAGAGTGAACAATGAGAATTTTCTTTTCATGATAGGGAGATGTTGGGGTGGGGAGTCAGTGAAGTTGTGTTGGTGGATACAGCTGCCCTGGGTGCCTCTGTCAGTCATAGCAAACTACTCACGTGGCACATTGCTCCTGAGCCCATGAAAGAAGAGCCTTCTTTGCGGACATCTGCCATCTTTCTTGAGCTTTGGAGCATTTCTTGGCTGGAGGACTTGAGGTAGGCAATGAACCTCCCTCAACCACGCTCACATCATCCAGGGAAGGTTGATTGTAATGGCAAGAAAGAGTCTGGGCAAGCTCCTCAATCTAAAGAAGACACAATAAGTTAACAAATACAGAATCATAAGTTATTGACATTGGGCCAAATAAAATAGTCCCAGGAGGCTGAGGCAGAGAATCTCTTTAGCCCACAAAGAAGTCTCCTGTGATGGTCCCGGCTTGGTCCTGGTGAAATGAGCGCTGGGCTGCATCTCTGCATAGCAGCACCTAGGCAGCACCTTGGCTTACTTTTAGTCTGGACTGGAGTCACTTCTTACCCTCACCCAGACATGCCATTCACATTGAAGACAAGCATCTATTCGTCCCCCTAAAGTGGTTACAGAGCATGTCACTGGAACTCAACACCTATCAAACTAAATCGGACTGAACTAAATTGAGCATTTAGTCCAGAGTATCTTTAGAGACTATATCAGTTGAAAAGCAACAAATATGCACACAGAGGAAAAAAAGTAGTCAAACATAGGGAGAGAAAAGTCCCCCCAAAGCAAATAAAATTGCCATTAAATATATAAAAATTACCATATCGACAAGTTAAGAAACCACTGAGTGCAATGGCTCCTGCCCATAATCCTAGCACTCTGGGAGGCCAAGGCTGGACAATCCCCTGAGCTCACAAGCTGGAGACCAGCCTGAGCAAGAGTGAGAACCCATCTCTACTAAAAATATAAAAACTAGCTGGGCATCGTAGTAGGTGCCTATAGTCCCAGCTACTCAGGAAGCTGAGGCAGGAGCATTTCTTTAGCCCAAGAGTTTGAGGTTTCCATGAGCTACCCAGGGCAACAGAGTGAGACTCTGTCTCAAAAAATAAATAAAATAAAACAAAACAAAATGAAACCCATATGTATAAAGGTAAAAGGGTAGCTTTTACAAAATTACACAGGCAAAACAAAATTTAAAAGATAACATCCAGTGATATGAAAGTATAAGGAATTGCATATTTTTATATTGCTGGTAAATGTACAAAGTGGCTCATAGATTTTTTTGGAGAGCAATATGATAATATCAATCCAAAACTTTAAAAGAGAAATTCACCATCACAGTAGAAATGTTTAATACATTTCTCTCAATTGACAGAACAATCAGATAATCAATAGTATTAACAAATTTGATCTGATTGGCCTTAGTCTGATAGACACTGTACCTAAAATGGTAGGACCAACATTTTTTTCAAATGCCATAGAATATTTCCTAAAATTGACCAGGCTAAGCCAAAAAGCAAGACTTAGCAATTTTGAAGGACTGAAGTTATTCAGACAATGTTCCCTGTCCACGTTGAAATTTTTGCCAGAAATAATAATATAACAGACAAAAGGGAAATTACACAATAGATTTTATATAATCCATGGGTCAAATAAGAAATAGGAATGAAAATAAGATTTTTTTTTTTTTTGCAGTTTTTGGCTGGGGCCAAGTTTGAACTTGCCACCTCTGGCATATGGGGTTGGCACCCCACTCCTTTGAGCCTCAGGTGCTGCCAGAAAATAAGAAAATATTTTGAACAGAATGAAAATACTACACTGATGGATGGGAAGAGGCTGTATTTTAAAAATGTCAGTTTTTTCCAAAGCGTTTTATATATTCAGTGCAATCCTAATCAAAATTCCAGCAGATTTTGTTTGTGTGTCTGTATATACACACAAATGCGGAAATTGACAAGTTATTTATAAAATTTGAAGAGAAATACAAAAAAGAATAAGAACAAGTTATTTACACTATCAGATATCATGACTTGCTATGTGTATGCAGCTACAGAAATTAACGGAGAACAGTACTGATGTCAAAGGTAAGAACAGAATATGGAGCCACACATTTATGGCCACTTGATTGAAGAAGGGGACACCACAGTCTGTACAAAAATGATGACTTTTCTTTTTTTCTGGAGACAGAGCCTCAAGCTATCCCCCCTGGGTAGAGTGCTGTGGAATCACAGCTCACAGCAACCTCCAACTCCTGGGCTCAAGCAGGTCTCCTGCCTCAGCTTCCCAAGTAGCTGGGACCATAGGCGCCTGCCACAACGCCCGGCTATTTTTTGGTTGCAGCCATCATTGTTGTTTTTTGACAGGCCTGGGCTGGATTCGAACCCACCACCTTAGGTGTATGTGGCTGGCGCCTTAACCACTTGAGCCACAGGCGCCGAGCCGATGACCTTTTCAATAAAGAATTTTGGATCACCTGGGTAGCCAAATGGGGAAAAAGTAAATGTTGATTGTTTCAATATAACACACTCAAAAAATCAATTCATTCTTCAAAGATTATAGATCTAAACAATCTTGAAAGATTGTAGATCTAAGCAAAATGCGAAAATTACATTTTTGGAACTGTGCTGTCTGGTATGATAGCCATTAACCATATGTGGAATTTCTATTTAAATTAATTAAATACATGCATAATTATAACTTCAGCTCCTTTGCCATACTAGCTGCACCACAAGTGTGTAATCGCCACAAGTGGCAAGGGGCCACCGCTATATACAGTGAAGCTAGTCTAGAAATCCTACTGAACAGAACTGTCCTACAAAACAACATCAGACAACATTGTCATGATACTGGCATAGGAAAAGATATCTTCAAAGAGAATGTAAGTACTAGTCACAAAAGAAAAGTTGATAAATTCAAACTACATTACAATTATGAATGTCTGTTCCATTATAAGATTGAAAAGGCAAGTCACAGAGTCAGAGAAGTTTGTCTGCAATTTATATACGTACAACAAAGGACTTTTATCCAGAATGTATTTAAAAACTCCTATAAATTATTATACACAATGCAGAGCTAATGCAAATAATTTCAAATGCCAAGTATTGGCAAGAAACTAGCAAACTCTGATAAGAATATAAATGGGGGTGGGGGGGCAGAGCCAAGATGGCAGACTGCAGCCAGCTTTTTACAGAAGCTCCCATCTAGAAGGAGGCTTTAAAGGACAAAAGTTTAGCAAGTTAGCGGATGGTTTGGAGCAGAGCCAAGAGAGAATATTGAAGAGCGCACGTCAACCTTCCTGAAGCGAGCTGCGACCCCCAAAATACAACCCAAAAGGTACAAAATCTACCACCAAGCGGATGGGAGTCCCGTCCCCCACAACAAGGGCTCGCAAACAAGTGAGCAGAGTTCAAACTTCCTCCCACTCTATGCCATGGGAGAGACCCCCTAAAAACTGGACCTTCTATCCCTGCTGGCATGCCATGGCACCCTCCAGCCAGGCATAAAACTGTAAAACTGTATAAAACTATATATTCTCCACCTGCAACATTGAACTCCAAGGAGTTCCTACCCACCCACTCCGAGGTCTGGAGGTTTATTACCTGTGGAATCCAGATTCTTGGGCATCTCCTTGAGAGAAGTGGAGGGGGAAAGGGCTGGTGCTGTTCTGTGCTGACTGTGGTACAGTCATGAGGAGAAGAAAATCAGCTCAGGGGACGACAATACTGCAACATTGGCATCCTGAGTTGCAAACTGACGCCATTCCAGCCCCATCTCTGGGCAAACAGAGGCTCCGGATAACAGCCACAGGCAAAACACAGATAACTTTCCTAAGTAAAGCACCAGCCCTCAGGGTCTAATACACCTGAGACAAAGGCAGTGGGCGGGCAGAGGCTAGAATTGACACCTGAGTGTAAATTGCTATTGGTCTGCTGCCGAGAGCTAAATGCAAGGACTTACAGAGAAATCTATCTGGACAGAAGCCGAATTTAAAAATGCAAGGCCCCCCTGCCGAACTCAGATTTCTGGCTGATTTTGTCAGTCATAAACCCCGGGAGCAGTGGCCTACTGAAGTGAATAGCGTCACAGATCTGGGGGATTATGAGTGACTGGGTGCAAGGTGGGGAAGGAGGTATTAACCTTCCCAAACTAACCTATTTGCTGGGTGGGTCCCTTTGCCCTCATGGAGTGGGGCAGGCCCAAAACTGCTTGCTAGAGTCGCAGGCCTCACGGGCGGCAGAGGAGATCCCAGCCTCAGGCTCCGGCTCTGGGCAGGCCCAGAACTGCTTGTAGGGTGCCGCGGGCATCCCGTGGGCAGTGGCGGAGGAGTCCTCTGTTCCAGGTAGACCGAAAACAGCTTGCTAGAGACACACACACCCCACAGGGGCCAGGGGAGGAGTTCCCCGCTCTAGGCACCCAAGCTGGGTAGGCCTAGAACTGCTTGCTAGAGCCACGTGTGCCCTGCAGGTGGTGGTGGAGGGGTCTACCACTCTGGGCGGGCCCAGAACTATTTGCTACAGCCACGTATGTCCCACGGACAGAGGTGGAGGAGTTCCCCGCTCTGGGCTCCCACGCTGGGAGGGCACAGATCGGCTTGCTAGTGCTGCGTGCATCCAACAGGCGATGGTCAAGGAGTCCTCTGCTTCCCCCCAGCTACTCTGGCAGGGCTGAACTAAGACTGATCTGGTCGCTCGCATACCCTGCGCTACCACTGCCATTCCCCCATCCCCTGGCTCCTCCAGGGGGCTGAACTAGGACTGATCTAGCTACTACAGTTCCCCTGTTCTACCAGTTGCCCCGGAGGAGCCAAACTAGGAGTGATCCAGCTGCTGTTGGTCTCCTGCCCCCTGGTCGCCCCAGCAGTGTGAATGAGGTCTAATCCAGCCACGCACACTCCTGTGCAGCTGCTACCGTTCTATTGCACCCCAGTTGCCCCAGCACCCGAGAACGGGGAGAAGACAACAGACACACTCTGCCTGTCTCTCTGAGCAACCAGAAGAAGCCACCAACTGAACAGTTCTGATAAGGCCTCCAAACCAGGTAAACTCAGAATGGGGCAGAATCAGCGGAAAAACCCTGGCAACTCGAATAACCAGAATAGATCAATTTCCCCAAGAAAAAATGGGGCAGACGTAATTGAAGACCCCATCCACAAGCAAATGGCTGCGATGTCAGAAATCGAGTTCAGAATGTGGATAGCAAATAAGATTAACAGAATGGAAGAAAAGAAGGAATTAGTAGTTCAAGAAATTATTCAAAAGATTTCTCAAGAAATTATTCAAAAGATATCTCAAGAAATTATTCAAAAGAT